ACAATAGCTTTGGAACAGAGCCTAGAGGTTTTTTATGTGATTTATTACCTCCTCAGTGGTGATTTCAAATAATTTTATGCTTTCTGTGTTCTCTGCTGCTAAAGGGTTTGGTGGAAAAGCCATTTTGAGCCTACGCTTCCCGTCTGAGAACTCTAGCTACTTTTCTGCACCATACAGCCATGTGGAAGTGAAAATATATGATCATTGTATGTTGGTTTCATACTTCCTTGTGTGTAGAATTCCATTAGGGAGGGCTGTTCTGCTCTTCAGTTAGTAGAAAGCAGCTATATGGGAACCAAGAATCTGATTTCTCCATGCCACTAAAATAACTTTCATTCTTATTCATGCACTTTACTTTTATGTAAAATTTTGGCATGACTTTCACTTTCTGTGCTGTGGTAGACTATGGATTTGTCGCACAGGTCCCCTGCTGCGGTTGCTGCTAGCACTGCACAGTGAAAGATGCAGAATATTTTCTTATGTGTCAGGTATTCATCTGGGATCTCTTCGCGTCAGCAAATACTGTTTATGATGTGGAATAGGTTTATTATAAAGAAAAAAACCAACCCTGTGAATAAGTACAATTTGAGCTTTGTTACTTTCTAGTTTCTCTGTTAAAGCTTTTGCCTTTATTTTTAGTGCAGGGTTTTCATAGAAGGTACTTTAGCACTTTTAAGCCAGGGCAGGTTTAGGCTACCGCCAGGGCAGGTTTAGGCTAGACATTAGGAAAAAATTCTTCACCGAAAGGGTTGTCAGGCTCTGGAATGGGCTGCCCAGGGAGGTGGTAAAGTCCTCATCCCTGGAGGTATTTAAAAGAAGGATAGATGAGGTGCTTAGGGCCATGGTTTAGTGGTGGGATGGCAGGGTTAGGTTAATGGTTGGACTTGATGATCTTAAAGGTCTTTTCCAACCAAAGTGATTCCATGATTCTATTCTATGATTCTAAGATATTTAAGGGATTATTTGGTAACTGATAGGCATTCTTTAAGGCACAGTAAACATACTTTATTGACCATGTATCTAGTCTGTTCTACTGTAAGCTTATTTTCTATTTTATTTCTTTTGAAGGATAAATTATACTACTGTGCCAAGTGTCATATGTGAGTATGATTAAATAACACAACCTGTGTCTTAGGTGTTAGATACTCAGACACCTGCAATGTTCTTTTCAAAGGTGGGTGAATACTGCACCTTTTGATAGGTGGAAAACTGAGAATTGCATTGATGGCTCATGATCTATGAGTTGCTTAAATATTAAGCTGGTGGCCAGATGGCTTCAGGTGAGTGACATGAACACCATGAGGCTTTGACAAGTGATAGGGAAGGAGGAAAAGAATGGCAAGTCATTGGATTCTCAAACTACCAGACTGTCTGCCCACTTCACACTGTGTTGACTCCTGCAATGTATGAAGGGCAACTCATCTTGACTGCCCTTTGAAGGCAGAATCAGGGTAATGGAGATACGGGTTTGACTGACTTCTTTCTTGATAGGGTTATTGTTTGTAAGTTGTAGCTTAACACGGCTTGTAATGAATTAAAATCTTTTCCTATTTTACCTAATTCTCAGGGTCTCGACAATGTTCATAAACAGAGAGTTGCTGAAGTGCTGAATGACCCTGAGAGCATAGAAAAAAGGCGAAGCCGAGAAAGCCTCAATGTTGATGTGGTAAAGTACGAGAGTGGTCCTGATGGAGGCGAGGAAGTGAGTATGAGCGTAGAATGGAATGGGGTAAGTACAGTACACAGTTTAAGAAAATAGCCTAGATAAATTATCACCATAACAAATAGGGTTGTCCATTCACCAGCTGATAGTGTTTTCAGTAGTTTCTTGGTTGATCTACTTTGGATTTTGTAACTTTTCAGAGTCAATTAAGAAACTAAGAGTAACATTTTGTTTTTTGTAACACCATGTGAAAAAATTGTAATATTTTAAAATTTTAAAATATCCTTTCTGTTGTTGTCCTGACCGGTGAAACTTCAAGAATCCCAAGCAGTTGTATTTAAGTTGTTTAATGCTGATTGAGTGTCCTGGACATGGTCTGGTGTACAATTGCTTGTCAGTGGTTTCTTTTTACTGTTAGAAGTATTCTGGCAATTAACTTACTTTTGCTTTTGTCCTTTTGATGCCATATTTGTCCGTATGTTAAATGTTTCTTTGAAAATGTTACATCTGTTGGAACCACAAAGCGCATTTGCTATGGAGATGTGTTAGGTGTTAGGAGTGTTAGAGTAAATTACAGTGATCAGTCATACACTAAAATATTTCCAATCTGTTCCTTACCCAACTTGTTAGAGGAAAGAATGTAACTTTTAAAGCTGCTGTGCAATCTGTTTTAAGAGGCAGTGCCATCACATAACAATGTGATAGTAACTACATATTTCTTAAGTGAAATATTAATATCGCTTTCCTGTATTAGAAGTTGACTGGAGTCAGGGCTTGTTCCTATTTGTTTCCCATATATTGGCTTCACTGTGTAATGCTGGTTGTCATAAAGTAAGAAAAAAAATATATATGATGTCATTACATATGCATTTTTTGAACCATTGTTTTCCTTTCTTTGAAAGACAGTAGAGGCTTTCAGTTATTGATCTGGCTTATGTAGTTGTTTGCTTCTGTCACCAGCTTTCCCATGCTTTATCCCATTGCTGGCGATGGGATATGTATTGCACTGTTAATTAACTCCCAGCTGCAGTCCTGATGAAAATACTCTGTTAGATTATAAAAGTGGTGTTGCCTGCTTTTGCTGTATGGGAGGGGAAGTAGCCTACTTTGCAATATTGAGTGTTCTGAAGTTTCATTTCTTTTACAATAGCTATCTTTTTTTTTATTCTCTTTTTTTAGCCATGTGAGACTAAGTTTAGCATTCCAAAGAAACCTTGATAAAACAGATACTGCTTTAGTCTTAAAGGAGCATGTTCTTTCCATCTGTGCTTTTGTCTCTTTATTATTATTTCTTGGCATTGGTGTTCTCAGTGCCAAGACAGTCAATCAGCATCTGTTGTGAATAATACCGCATCATTAATAAAGCCAAAGTAAGGTTGGATAACTCTTTTTAATTCTCATTTTGCCCATTCAGCGTTAGAACTGTGTACTGTACTCCTCCCTTAATTTTCACTGTACTTTGCATGACTATATGTTCTAAATGGATTAAACTTTCTTCTGTTATTGACCTTAATTAAGCAAGCATGCAGGTTTTGGATTGAAAAGGCCTTCTGGAAAAGCAATAGACAGTATTTCTAGGTCAATATTTGAATCAAACTCAGTGATAAAATTTGTTGATCTGAAAAATTAAATTTTGACCTGTCAAGGCAAACTTTTCATTTTTAGTGTGCTGAAGTGGCATTGCGTTATTCTCATCTTCATTGTTTCTTTTTTCCCCCCCTCTTAAGAAAAGGTATTTTGCGTTACATCTTTTTACATAAAGTGGGCAACTCTCTCTCCCTCTACCCTGCTTGTGTTTCTATCTCAGTGCTATCCTTCCCTCTACTTTATATTGTGTAGGTGTTTTTACCCTCATGTGTTCCCTCCAGACAAAATACTCTGATTCATAAAGTATAGTAGAATTTTTTTATCAGACAGGAACTTCTGTGTACAGAGCCTGAGGAGAGCCCTGCCTTTTCCCTTGAAATTCTTCTGAAGTGGTCAATCTGACTCACGTTCTTGTCTGTCAGAGAATAGGTGGTGTGTATAAAGCAACAAATGTCAAGAAAAAAATTCTGTTGGAAGATTTATTGTAATTAAGTGACTTCCATGTGGAATGTAATCACTATTAAGTATTGTATGCTTTGATGTAATATTTTACACGCGTTCCTACAAAAAGAACTGAGATATCTATTGGAAGTAAATCTGTCATTAACTATTAAAATTAACATGCTGAGAGAGGTTGCATAGTGCATGTTTACATGTTTCATATAAGGTCTGTCCCTTAAAGTTAACCAAAGATACTTGAGAATGCAAAGCAATACTTCGTCTTTAAGACGAAGGTAGAAATACCAAATTTTTTATCCCTTACTATGTATATTGGAAATGACAGTCGTGTATATTAGAAATGAAAGTGCGTGTCTGTAGCTGACATTTTTATAAATTGATCTTACAGCTAGCTGGAGGATAGATAAATTAAACGCTAACATGCCACGAAGATTTTTAAGGCAACGTTTTTAGTGTGAGGAAGTATCTTTCATTATTCTAAACCGTATGCTTCAAAAAGACAAGCTTTTGGGCACATCAGCCCGCTTTCAGGTGTGAAATGAAAGCCATAAATTTCACTACCATAGACTAGCTGGTGAGAGTGGCTCCTGTTTAACAAGAAGTGTCAAGCAGTCAGAGCAGCATTGCAGCAGACAGCTACAAAGTACAGGAGATGATGATGGTGGGGAGGTGTAAGTAAAGGTAATAAGGTGATTTTCTGGCATAAAAATTGGCAATTAGCCTTTTATATGGCAAAGATTATCTCTGATTTTTTGTTTACACTGGATTTAGGAATCTCTTTTTTTTATCCTAAGCTTGTGTTTTAAGGTGTTTTGTTAATCATGCAGTCAGTGTTTAACCTGGAAGTTCAGTGTTTTTATTTCAGATTTGAAGTACCCAAAAGCTTGTCTGCTTATTCCTAATGTGTTTGTTCATTGGATCACTATCGCTACTATAGCATCGCTGGTTTAAGACCATAGGAATAATTAGCCTCTTCACTGATCTAATACTTCTGAGTGGAATTTAGACGTCAACTTATTCATTTCTGCAAAGCTGAAGTCTGATTTTTGAAAGTGTGAACAATATATGCAATTTAGTTTGAAACATAAAGACTAGGTTAGGTTTTGATCTTCTAATCACTTGGTAGCAAGGCATTTTGCCATTTGCAGGAATAATTTTAATTACTGTTCATTCTAGTTGCTATAAGTGAAGGGTCTCAAAACCGTTGTCTTCAGTAACAGTTTCTGTACTTAAGGCCGAGAATGGAAAGCGTGTAAATTGAACCACAGCTTATATTTGAAGGTGGATTCTTTCAGCTGCTTCACTGCGTTAGGGAAAGTACAGAAGTTTCCTTGGATAGTACATATACACGCAGATATGTTCTAAAAAAAAAAATACTTGTGAGGTCAGTTGGATTCCAATTCCTTAAAGGAATGAACAGAATTTTGTCTGGAGGTTAGGGGAAGACCTCTTTCTTCTTGCAGTTCTGTTTTGAGGAAATTCCCTGACAGAAGTTAAAGCTGAAATGAATGCACCTTGCTCTGTTCCTTTTTTTTTTCCCCCCTTATTTTTATTTTTATGTTAATGTCAGCTGAAAAAACCCCTGCAATTCCTTCCTTTGTTTACCAAATGCAGTTCTAAAGCTCTCCTTTCTTAAAGGTGTTTTGTATCTTATATAAATGCTAACTTAATGCACAGCATTGTTCAGGCTTGTTTGTAAGTCACATATTGGTGATATAGGTGAAACTGGGTAAAGATGTACGTTCTGGTAATTGCACGGGCCTGCGCTTTGTACTGAAGGGCAGTCCAAATACTTACTCCGGAAAAAATTGTTTTGAATGTGACCTAGAAATACTGTAAACATAACTGTTCAAAATTGAAAACTGTTGAATTTTTCCCAACAGTTTCATTCAGTTTTTCTCTCTCCATTTCTGACAGGCCTAGATGCCTTTTGTGATTCTTATACTGTCTCCTGCATGACGGGCGTGCACCATCTTCAAGCTTTAACTTCTCTCTTCAGTACTGACTGCTGTGTTTTAGCAAACCCCTTAAGATTCTTGTCAGAGCTACACTTCCCTGTAAACTGGCCATTCCTTCAGTGCTGGTGTCTTTTTTTGGTTTTTCTATTTCTGTACATGTGTAGCTTTGCCAGATATGTATCTAGTCATACAAAATGTTATTACAACCATTTGCTGTGTAATACATTAGTAAAAAAAAAAAAAAAAGTAACAATGAACTCTATAAGTAGCTGTTCACTATGGAAAAAAGGTAGTTAAAAGTATCACACAAGGTATTATTGAAATGGCATGATGGTGATCCTTACAAGAGAAAAACAAAACAAACCCCGTAACAGTAAGGCATGTTCTCCAAGTGCTTTAAAATGTATTTAGAGACCTATTACATGGTTAACATCAATATGGAACTCTGGATGTCTTCACTTACGATTATTCTAAAGTAGCATTGCTGTTTAGTCTTTATGTGAGATTTTGGCAATTATGCTTTTCTCTACTAATCTTGGTGTTCAGTGATTTGTGTATTTGTCTTTCTAACTTCTAATAAACTCACTCCAACTCAGGTGTCTGTCTTTGTCTGCTTAGTAGGACTTTACTTTCTTCTTTTACAATTCTTCTTTCATAATCACGTAGGATTTCTATGAAGTAGGAAGTGGTCACTTCTAATCTTACTAAACTTTTGGGTTTGGGTTTTACTTTTTAAAGTAAAATGTTTAAAAATAGGATTCCAGTCAGCTGGAAGTTTCTTTGGATCAGCACAGCAGTGTAAAACATGAATGCAATGTATGGAAAATTAACTTCATGTTTTACATTTTCTTTGGTGAAAGTTCAGCTGAAGCATAGGAATTTACCCATACATGTTTCTGATCAGAAATAATTTTGTTTAAGGATTTCAGGATTAAATAAACATGTTTGCAAGTAATGTCACTGTTTAGAAAAAATAAAAGTTTTTTTTCTTAGACTCTGATGGAATGCTTTTGCTTGGGGCTTGTATTCTGTTAACCACAGTGTGCTCATATGAAATGGTAACGTGGTGGTGGTGAATTGTTTGACTACTGTGGTGGGGTTTTATTCATTATTATAATTACGGCTTGAGCATGTCTTCACATACTGGAAACTTTTGCTACAGTTTGGAAGGAACCTTTTTGGTTTGGTAAAGTTGTACCTATATGATATTCTGTGTTTAGGTAATTGTACCAAGTATATCAATAGCAATGTAAAAAAAAAAAAAAATTCATCAATGACATGTTTTTGAGCCAGGTTTCGGGGAGGGCGACAAACTCTTGCACTTTCACATTTGTTCAATTTTTTTCAGGATGGCACTGGATCTTTAAAACGCAGTGGTTCCTTTAGCAAACTTCGCGCTTCCATTAGACGCAGCAGTGAGAAGCTGGTTAGAAAGCTGAAGGGAGGAAGTTCACGAGACAGTGAACCAAAGAATCCAGGGTAATTATCTATTCTTAGCTGTGCTGGTGTGCCCTCGTTCTGTGCCCCGCTGTAGTCTAGCGCAGTACCTAGGGCAGTGTTTTCTTCTCTGCTTAGCTGACTGCATATTGTATAGATTCATACCTTTAAAAAAAAAAAAAGGAAATAATTTCTTAAACTTACAATGAAAATTCTCTAACATCTGAGGAATTACATTTGCTTGTAAGAGTTAACTGAGTTAACTCCCATTTTTAAGTGTTTTTTCCCTTTTTACTGCTTTAGCCACTTGAAGAATAGAAAAGCCTCATAGAATTATTGATAAGTGTTAGTTACCTGCAAAATCCTCCTTTTCACATGGCAGTGAAGAATAATAAATGCTACTGATTTTCGCAATAAAAGCTTGAATACAGTAAACCCACAACTAACATTCTTGGTATAGCTTAATATCTTGATATATTCTCGATGAAGCTTTATATATTGCTGTGGGTATAAAGAGAGTTACTGCCTTGAGCCCTTCTCAGTTTCTTTCTTTGGAAAACCCAGATTTCAGAGAGCAGAGGAAAATGTTGAAAAACTCAAACCTAGTTGTGCATCTCATTAACATTTTGGCCTCAGTGAAGTCAGTGGTAAAAATTCAAATTTTAATTAATCTGACTTCTCTCTCTTTCCTATTTACCATATGATTATGGATTTGGATGTATGTAATATTTCTAATAAATGCATAAAATCATGCATCACGTGTTGGCTGCTGCAAGGAAGTTGAAATGTTAAAATGTACTACTCTCTTTTCGTCATAGCACTCATGGGTGGTCCCCCTCACCCCTGACATAATTGCCATCAGTTTTGCGGGGTTTTTTCCCCTTGCTGTGGAAAACTGGAACTCATTTAGTTGACAGGAAGCTGTACGACAATGTGAATTTGAATTTAGGCTTGAAAACAGTTAAATTGGAGAACTTAAATTGGATTAACTGCTGATGGAGCAACTGGATCTATGACTAATGAGGATACCTGAGACAGTGATCTGGAGGCAGGGTCTAAATGTGTAAGTGTTCCGATGAAGTTCTGCATTACTGTTTTTATGTGGCAGTAAAACATTGTGTACAGCTCCAATCCACATAGAATTCTCTTCCTCGCATATCTGTGTCAAATTCAGCCTGATCTGATTTTTAGAATGTCAATTAAAATTTCATTCTCAGCTGCCAGAGACTTGATGTTGAAGGCACTGAATCAAATTCAAGGTCAAAAATCCCTTTGCGTTTATTGATACATCATTAAGAACTGCCTCTGAGATGATAGATTGGGAATAAACTGAAAAACATGTAATTAGAAGAAGGAAAAATGTAAACGTAAAATGCTTTAGTATGATAGATTGGGAATAAACTGAAAAACATGTAAACGTAAAATGCTTTAGGGAGAACAACCAAATGCAAGCCAAAATTGAATACAAGGGATTTAATTCTTTGTCTTTAGTGTTAGCATTTTATATGTTTCTGTTCAGTTCTGTCTGGAGTTCATACATCGTAGTTCAGGTATATTCTTGTAAGAACAGATGCACATATTCATAGCTAATTTTGCATTTTCTCCTCATTTTTGTGAGACATGGAAAGGTTTTCAGCTTCTTAAAAGCTTTAAGAGTTTTACTCCTTGTTCTCTGCAGTAAATAGAGCTAACTTTCTCTGCAGGTAAAGTAACTCCGTGATTATAGGTGTAGAAAATTATGCTTACATAGAACTGAAGACATTTGGCTTTGTAGTGTCCTGTGAGAACTCCTCTACCTTTTTATTGCCTGCACTTCAGTAGTGTTATTCAACCAACATGGAAGTAACCTACCCACATTAATTTAACTAAATTGTGGGGTCTGTATCGCCAGATAAGATTTCCTCAAGTAAAGACATTAATGTGAAACAGATTTGAAAACAAAGCAATATCTTTCTTGCTTTCCCTTTCTGATGAAATACTGTTGTTTTTTTAAATGTCGCTGTGGTTGTCAAAGAATAATCTATTCTTATGCTCGCAATAAGTGCATTGCATTCACAGGCTTGTTCTGCAGATATGCACGTTGAGTGTGTAAGACAATGAATACTATAATTTCTGTTCTGTAAGATACAGGCATTTTTTAATCCTAATTTATATTTGCATTTGTTATTAAAACCAGCTAAGATTCCTGGTATTAAACACCAGCTTTATAGTTCATATTGATACTCCAAGAAGTAATTTTGATTTCATTTTCTGAAGAAACTTTAGTAAATAGTGATTTTTTTTTTCTGCTTCTTAGCTTAATAGAAGGGATATTCAGTTTTTATTATGCAAACCTTGGGGTTTTTAGTGTGTTTGATAGCTGAATATTACAATACTGATGTAATATACCTAGAAGTCATTTTTGCTATCAAGTCAGCCGCTCTAGGTAGACCTATGTGCCTCCCTCCTTACTGGTACACCTCTGCCTTCCCTGCCCGTGCCTCTGTGAAGACTTTATTTTGAATTTGATTTACCCCCATTGGTTATACTGTGCTTCTGTAAATAGTAATGGACAGTGCTGGTATGATTCAGAATGAGAAATACTGACATAGAAGTACATTAATATCCCAGCATGAAAGACAGACTTAGTTTTCATGTTCCTGCTTGATATAGAAGGTTGAAGAGAATGAAGTGGAAAACTCATCAGGGAAATTGTTTCCTTAAAATCACGCAAAAGCCTTTTTGACAAAGAACAGATCTCTTAGGAACTGTTCTTTGAAACAGAAAATGCCTGAAGCATGGTATCACTTCTTCCTTTCTTTATCATATTTCAGAATTCAGTTCTGCAGTAATTTGACTTTGCTAGCGTTAGGTTTGATTTTTCTCTTTTACAGTTTTGATCATACAGCAGAAGAGTTAAGATTTGTAATCTAAAAGGAAGGGTGGGGAGGGGGAGCTTTCATTATTGCTATCACTTATTCACCAGAAAAACAACTGCATGCTATTTGTGCAATCATGTTTCTAACACGGAGGGAATGAAAAGTGCATTTACTAAAGTTCCTTAGTATGTTGATTTAAAAACAAAACAAAACAAACACCCCCACAAACAAACTAGTATCTCATATGTGATTAAAAAGTTTGGTTTTTTTTTTAATTGGCACTTCAGCGAGAACCTAAAAATAGTTGTGTAAATTTTTACTGGTGGATTTTGTTTCCCTGGAATATTTTCCATAAACCTTAATGGTCTTTTTGAGAATTTTCTGCAATGTTTTGTTTGTGTTTTTCAGATTAACTTACTTTGACTTCCATACATAACCTCTGTTGTACATGTTTCCTTGAATAAATGAGAGGTGTATACCATGCATGAGTCCTTGCTTTGTTGTTGCTAACACTCATGTCAAATATTTTTAATTGTGTGCATTCTAGCTTGTGGAACGTGCAAATTTAATGGTAGGAAAAGCCAGTAAGCCAGTGTTACGTGGCAGCTGTTGCCTGTGTCTGTTAGCGTTTTGGTTCATTATTCTGCTAAGCTTTTGCTTTATAAGAGCATTTAAAACTTGTGCTTGACTCTGACTGTTAGTAGTCTTGCTTCAGTAGAAAGAAAAACCGGTTAATATCTAATGTGATCTGTATGGATAAACCTTTCCATGTTACTGGAAGGCATTGGGAACTCGCATCAGCCAGGTGTTTCTAAAGCTGTAGGTAGCGTTGCAGGATTAGGGCCTGGTGTTGTGAATAGTTCATCAAATATGTGTTCAAAGTACTCATTTAGTTTTGAAATTATTAAAGAGGAAAAAAAATAGTGAAAAATCAAGGCACGCCTAGTACATTCTGAGTAACGTACAGACACTGCGATAAAGGACATCAGATGTTCCTGTTGTCGCTGTGATGATAGGAAGCCTAAGGCTCATCTTTGGTGTCATTATACACACTTTAAAATATTTTTGTTAAATTTTGTATATGTTTGAGAAATGCAGATAAATTATTAACCCTCCTCTCAAACACCGGTAGGTGTTATGGTTAATGCAGTGATATTTTGACTGTCAGTGGCTCCTGTGTAGGTGATTAATTTTTTTTTCCTCCTCTGTTGCTTTCCATACAGTATTCCAGGGTGGTTGTTACCCCTGCTCAGAGCATTGCGAAGCCGAAAGCATAACCAAAGTTAATAGCAGCAACCGTCTTATTTCCCTTTGCTTTGAAATGTTTAAAAGATTTTACAATGCCTTTTGAAATAGGTTCTGGAACCTTACCTAGATGAGGCAGAAAGTACTAAACTAATGTTTGTTGTAGCTTTTCCAAGTTAAATGCTGCCGATGCGACAAAGTTACTCATGTTTCACATTTCTTTCCTAAACTGTCTGAATGGTTTCATGCTTTTGTGAGAAGCTGCATAAAATTGAAACTGGAAATCAGCTAATTAAAAATCAATGCTAAGTCAGTGTATTAATTTGATATGCTTTAAAAATCAAGATTTTTGAGTTGAAATTAAATCAGTTGCCTGAAATGTTTAAGCTCTGAGGAGCTTGTAATTTTGGGGGTTTTATATGTAATTTAGAACCGAATATAAACATATTCTAAGTTATGTAGTTCTCTTAAAGGGTATCCCTCAGATCAGTTTTGGGGCGTTGTTCAAACTGCCTTAACTGTGCATTGCTCGTTGTTATACTTGTGTTTTTAGAGCCGTTAGTTTTCAGCTATTCTGATGGGTTTATCCTTGCATGTTCACTGTCCTGGTTGCAGCATGAAGCGTGCCAGTTCTCTGAATGTTCTTAACATGGGTGGCAAGGCTACTGAAGATCATTTTCAAGTAAGAAGCCCTACAATACTCTTACAAAAATAGCTATCATTAGTAGGGTTTGGGATAAAAAGAGCATGATAAATAATAAACCAACAAACTCCTAGGGAGTGGTAAGATCCTACCTCAGTAAGATGTTTAGAGCATATGCATAAGGCATCGTTCCGTAACACTTTTGTGGATTATTCTTAATTTTAAGCAAGGGCTTAAGTCCGACCAGTAGAGAGCATTGGCTTTTAGGTTACCAAGCAATCTCTGGCTTTGGACCTTCTAATGATTAGTGGATATGAAACTTCTAGATTCTTATGTTCTTGTAAATGCCTAATAAAGAAACAAGAACTTCTAAACCTCAGTTACTAAGTATTTTTTACTTCAGCCCCTTTATTGCAGAGGGCCCAATCATCTTAATTGCTGCACATTATCAGATTCCCTTAAACGTGACCTCGGTTGTTCCTGAGGTTGTACAGGAGCAGTCTCTAAAAGGTTGTCTGATCTATGTTACCCTTCTGCTACATAAAGCCTTATTTTGCTTACCTGTATACGGTGTGCCCAATTGCTACTTCCCATTTCCTGTTTTTACCTAATAAGTCACTGTTTCTTCTGTTGTCAAATAAGCTAGCGATGTTCTGCATTCTAAACACCGTTGTGCATTTTACTAACACCGTAACTGCAACTAATTTTAGGAAGATAAACTTGCCGCTGTACTAACAAAACTGTACGTGAGGATCTTCATCGCTGTTTGTCCTCCAGTAGCAGGAAAGCCCAAACTGTATGGCTCTCATTTTACTGTTCGGGCCATAAAGGTGTCTTAACTATGTTACCTCTAATGAACGTACTGCAGAGCCTTCTGTGGTGTGGAATGTATGCAAAACTTTGCTTAGGGTGAGCTTCAGCCAAAAAAGAAGTCCAGGGTGAGGCATAATTCTTTGCAGCAACAGTGCCAAGGTCTCAAAATGTCACGCCCGAGGCTCCCCTAAAATGGATCCTTAGTATAGAATTGATGTGACTTCCAGAAGAGTAATTTATTGTTTGTGCGTACACTGCGATATTAAAATTAGTTCTTGCTTCTTGTGAACTTTCCTTGTTCACCCAATGTAGACGCTCACAGCAATTCCCATAGGTGGGCTCTTGCATTTCTGGTAAGGCTGGGGTCAGGATCGTAAAGGGTGTGCGTACGTACCAATACAGACTTTCAGTTTTGCTAGTTGAAAGTTGGGGAAAAAGATGTTTATTAGAATAGGGGAGAGTGTCCCTACCCAACATGAAGGTGGCCAGTTCTCCCTAGATCCTTATATTTGTTTGTTCCTGTTCGTTAAAACTAGGCATTTTGTTTATTTGCTTGAACTGTCTGGACATCTGCTTAATTTGTTTGTTTGTTTTTTTCCCCCTTCACACAGGAACGAAATAATTGTCTGACAGACTCGAGAGCTCTGAGTGTCAGTCATACTGACTTGGCGCATTGAGATTCTTGGACAGAAGCTAGCTAATATTCCTTGGTGAATAAAGAAGCACTGAGACCTTCAAAGCTTTGGTTCCTCATCGTTATGTATAGGAACACTTAGTTTGTAGATTTTGTTGGGTTTTTTCCAATGGACTGCTGTTTTTACTTTTCTAAATAGGAATGATTTTAAATACAGCATTAGTGGGTATTTTCTCCTAAAGGAAAACTATATAGATACATATTGCTCATTGCACTGCTCCCATTCATGCTACTCACGTTGATTTCTTTAATAGATCTGAATATTACAGCAGCCAAAAAAAAGGTAAAAATACAAACATATTTGAAAGCATACCAAAACGCAAAGGTGTTTGAAAATGCAGGCAAAATTAAATGTGTAGCAGTAAATATACACAGTGCTGGAATGAGAAAAGGATAGATTTATGTGCATTACTGTATAAATGCAAACGGAGCATACTGTATTGGTGGGGCTTTCCTTTGCACCACGGGTTATTGTAACGTTAGAAACCTTAGCTGGCAAACCAGCACTTGGACACGGCTTACTTAACCACTAGATTGAGCTATTAAATTTTAGAGAGGAGATGGTTGGGGTTCCATGGCACATAGATAGCATGGCTAGCGATACCTGTGACCATCACTTGGAATCTTGTTGATAGGAGTCCTAGGGCACAATAATCAATGGAGATAGGATGGTTCGTGTTGATCGGGAGAAACGGAAAATGTTTTGACCTTTACTTTGTATGGTTGACGAATGCTGAAGTTTCGGACTGCAACTGTCCCAGAGCGGCTGCTGGTGCTCTTGGGGAAACATCAAGCCTCAGGTTGACTTTCTTGCTTGTCCACTGGAATTCACAATCCCATTCTCTGTTTGCTGAAAGTGCTCCAACATTTCCTTAACGCCGATCCCAAATCCTGCCGTTCTCCGCAACAGCTGATGGCAGCAGAAGCAGGCAGCTGCATGCTGGGCTGTTACACCGTGGAGCAGCTGCTGTGCAAAGGACCACTCGGATCCGAAGGGCCCCAGTGGAAGCACCAGACGGCCGATAAGTGGCAAGCAACTCGTTTGACCACGCATCCATGTTAAATCTACTTACGGTCAATACAAATGCTGTCTGCATACGGGACTGCTGCTGGAACTGAGTATGTATGGTTTAAGTATTTTACAGACACTAGCATTTCCTCTTGCTTTTCTGTAAAGCTTGTAATTTTGTTCATCTTTTGTAAAAATTCTTATTCATGTGAAGTTGGATGAGAAAGTAAAATAACCAACTGGTGTGCGTACAGATGTATTTGCGGTCATAGTTGGAAAACGTCGAACGAAACTAACTTTGGGAAAAGCTGGAATATTCACTCAAGGTTGGCACCAACCTGAAGGAGGCAAAACACAGGGACATGAGCAAGTTTCAGTATTTGAACAGGCTGTGAAGAGCCATTCGTACTTCGTAGAAGTATTTGACTGGCTTTGCATCTGGTTTTACGTTGTGTTACGATACCTGATGCAAAAAGTTGTATGTGTAATGCACTTGACTGTGTTTACCAGGAGGTACCTTATTAGCATCTCTTCAAAGAATGCTGCGTGTGGTATACCTGCTATAAGGACAGTTTGGAAATGGTGGGATATGATGCTGCTAATGTGTAGAAGTTTTAGCACAGCGTAGTGCAATTCATTAATGAACTTGAGCAAGAGCGAGTTGTTGCTCAGTTATCTTAACAATATATACTCATATAATGTAGACTTTTGAGTTTTAATCTTTTAATAAGAGCTTTTTATATAAAAATATACATAATATATATACTCATTTTTTCCCCTGAAGCAAAACACATGATGTGCACCCATTGCTGGACTCTGTTCTCTGCAGAAAACCAGACTGAGCGAGCTTTGCACAAAGAACTGTACCTGGGGTCGCTGCCGCCGGGCAGGCCGGGGAGGTGGCTGGAGAACCCGTCCGCGGCAGCGCCCGTGCGGCGCTCCCACTACAAACACCCCTTGCTGTCAGCCTGCTGGCCCCGCGACGCTACCGCTGTAGGGGG